TCAGCTCTGCTAGGTGGCAAGCAGTGTCTACATTCAACCTTCCAAGCTCTGCAACTATTGGATCTGCACTTGCAGAAGAATGACCCTGGTTCACAGAGACGTCGTGCGGGAATCCAGTCAGCGCACCAGACACAGAGAAGCCGCTCCCTTTGCAAGGTCGAATCCGGAGTCTTTATTACAAAGCCAGCGATGGCCAGCTGACTCCCAAAGAACTCACAGCCCGGAAGGCGGCTAACCCAAAGCTTTTAAAAGCACAAATAATCACATGATGAGCATGAGGAACCAAGCCCATCAGGAGCACAACGACAGAAGCAAGGCAAGCTGGTGGAAAACATGAGCGCCTCTGCACCTGAAAAACGACCGCTTCACCCCCAGAGCTCCCAGAACACAGCGAAGGCCTCACCACCCGCGAATTCACCGACCACTTCACCCCCAGAGCTCCCAGCACACAGCAAAGGCCCCACCACCCCCGAATTCACCGACCACTTCACCCCCAGAGCTCCCAGCACGCAGCGAAGGCCTCACCACCCACAAATTCACCCCAGAGCTCCCAGAACACAACGAAGGCCCCACCACCCCGAATTCACCCCAGAGCTCCCAGCACGCAGCAAAGGCCTCACCACCCACAAATTCACCCCAGAGCTCCCAGCACACAGCGAAGGCCTCACCACCCACAAATTCACCCCCAGAGCTCCCAGCACGCAGCGAAGGCCCCACCACCCACAAATTCACCGACCACTTCACCCCCAGAGCTCCCAGCACGCAGCGAAGGCCTCACCACCCGCAAATTCACCCCAGAGCTGCCAGCACGCAGCGAAGGCCTCACCACCCGCAAATTCACCCCAGAGCTCCCAGCACGCAGCGAAGGCCTCACCACCCGCAAATTCACCCCAGAGCTCCCAGAACACAGCGAAGGCCCCACCACCCCCGAATTCACCCCAGAGCTCCCAGCACGCAGCGAAGGCCTCACCACCCACAAATTCACCCCAGAGCTCCCAGCACGCAGCGAAGGCCTCACCACCCACAAATTCACCCCAGAGCTCCCAGCACACAGCGAAGGCCTCACCACCTGCAAATTCACCCCAGAGCTCCCAGCACACAGCGAAGGCCCCACCACCCACAAATTCACCCCAGAGCTCCCAGCATGCAGCGAAGGCCTCACCACCCCCGAATTCACCCCAGAGCTCCCAGAACACAGCGAAGGCCTCACCACCCACAAATTCACCCCAGAGCTCCCAGCACGCAGCGAAGGCCCCACCACCCCCGAATTCACCCCAGAGCTCCCAGCACACAGCGAAGGCCCCACCACCCACAAATTCACCCCAGAGCTCCCAGCACACAGCGAAGACCCCACCACCCACAAATTCACCCCAGAGCTCCCAGCACACAGCGAAGGCCTCACCACCCACAAATTCACCCCAGAGCTCCCAGCACGCAGCGAAGGCCTCACCACCCCCGAATTCACCCCAGAGCTCCCAGCACGCAGCGAAGGCCTCACCACCCCTGAATTCACCGAGACGGCGGCAGGCCAGGCCAGCACGTGCACCCAGTGTCCACCGTTCAAGGCAACTGAAACGGAGCCCAGGCTTAAGCGTACATTTGAAGTTCAACACATCACCAAGGGGAACAGAGTCCTTGTGACCTCCCACTAGAAAAAGTCGCCTTCTACTTGATATTTAAGGCAAGGTTAAGGAAGAAAAAAAAATGGGGGTTAGGCTTCATGTAAATAAGACCTGCTCTTCAAAAGACACTGATGAGAGGAGGACAAGGCAGGCTGCAGACGCGGAGACGGAGACGGAGACGGAGACGCGGCTGCAGACGCAGACTCAGAGACGTGGCTGCAGACGCGGAGACGGAGACGGAGACACAGCCGCAGACGCAGAGACGGAGACGGAAACGTGGCCGCAGACGCAGACTCGGAGATGGAGACGCGGCCGCAGACGCAGACTCAGAGACGTGGCTGCAGATGCAGAGACAGAGACGGAAACGTGGCCGCAGACACAGACTCGGAGACAGAGACGGAGACGTGGCCGCAGACGCAGACTCGGAGATGGAGACGCGGCCGCAGACGCAGACTCGGAGATGGAGACGCGGCCGCAGACGCAGACTCAGAGACGTGGCTGCAGACGCAGAGACAGAGATGCGGCCGCAGACTCGGAGACAGACATGGCCGCAGACTCGGAGACGGAGACGTGGCCACAGATGCAGACTGGGAGATGGAGACATGGCCGCAGACTCGGAGACAGAGATATGGCCGCAGATGCAGACTGGGAGATGGAGACATGGCCGCAGACTCGGAGACAGAGACATGGCCGCAGACTCAGAGATGGAGATGGAGATGGAGACGTGGCCACAGACACAGACTGGGAGACAGAGACATGGCCGCAGACTTGGAGATGGAGATGGAGACATGGCCACAGACTCAGAGATGGAGATGGAGACATGGCCGCAGACTCGGAGACAGAGACATGGCCGCAGACTCAGAGATGGAGATGGAGATGGAGACGTGGCCACAGACACAGACTGGGAGACGGAGACATGGCCACAACTCAGAGACAGAGACGTGGCCACAGACACAGACTCGGAGATGGAGACATGGCCACAACTCGGAGACGGAGACGTGGCCGCAGACTCGGAGATAGAGATGGAGACGTGGCCACAGACGCAGACTGGGAGACGGAGACATGGCCGCAGACTCGGAGACGAGACACGGCCGCAGACTCGGAGACGGAGACATGGCCGCAGACTCGGAGATGGAGATGGAGACGGAGACGTGGCCGCAGACGCAGACTCGGAGACGTGGCCGCAGATTACAACATAATGAACTCTGTAAGCGACGCATCTCCACAAATGGTACCGTAACTCAGAGGCTCACAAAAAGACCGGCCTCTTAGTCACTGGGAGATTGCAAGTTAAACTCCACTGCGAGTTAAACTCCACACCGATTCAATGGTCACTGCTGGCCCGGGTCTCAGCGACCAGCACCATGGAGGCCTGGCGGGGGGAGGTGGAGACTGTCTGATCATTCCAGATCTTATTATAATGGTGAGCAACAGAATGAACTGGCTAGCACTTGCAGAACTAAAGAGACAGGGTTTTGTTGTGTGGATTTCGCTTTAACCCTAGAACGCAGCTGGCAGGGGAGGGGCAGGAGAGCAAACGCAGCTCAGCCACCCTCTGAGCCACTTCAGGCTGGGGACTTAGCTCCTCTGAGCCTCAGGTTCTTTTCAGTCTAGACGCTGAAGATAAAACCGTGGCAGACGGCTCGGCGTCCTGCGCAGCCTTGGGTGAAGGCCTGGCTGCCCAGCGCCTGTCCTGGGTGCTCAGAGCGCTCAGGCTGCAGATGAGGCCTGGTGGGAAGGCCGGGAAAGCAGGCAGGGATCCGCACCCTGCTGAGTGGCTTTCTCACCAGCCTGAGAATTTAACAGCCTTTGTAAGAACTGAAAGCTCGCTAAGCCTGACAATTTATTTTTGCATCTTGCGTCTCCCTCCAGGAGGCCAATCAGCTCAACTTCATTTCTTTCAATATGGTCACAGCCCTCACTTTTCAGAGCGGCTCAACCCCGCTCCCCTACCAGAGAGGAGGCTCTTACAGCGGAGAGGTGGATGGTGTAATAACTTAATAACTGCTGGTGAAGCACATCGATAGCCGGGCGCTGGCGGCTCACGCCTGCCATCCCAGCTACTCAGGAAGCTCAGATCTGAGGATCACGGTTCAAAGCCAGCCTGGGCAGGAAAGTCTGTGAGGCTCACATCTCCAATAAACCACCAGAAAACTGGAAGTGAAGCTGTGGCTCAAGAGGTAGAGCGCTCGCCTTGAGCCAACAGGGCAGGGACCGTACCTTGGCCTTGAGTTCAAGTCCCAGGACCAGCAAAAAAAAAAATAAACAGAATATGAATTAATTGAGCAGCTAATGCTTGCAAGAAAGGAAAGCATTTTCCCAAACAGCACAGCAGGCACGCAGTGAAATGCTCTTCTCTTGCTCCTCCAAGACAGTGCTGCCGATGTCCTGCGCAGCCTCCCAGCCTGGCCTCCACACAAGCCGGCCCCTGACATTGCCAGCAGAGAGGACTCGGGTTCAAATCCCCGTCCTGCCACATGCTCGGCACCAACGTTGGGCAGAGGACACCGGCGGCCCTGGGGTGGCTCAGCCTGTAATGACAGGGCGCAACTCAGTGCTGCCGGGAGGCGGAGTCAGGCCGGAGGCGTCGGCGATGACCTGGCTCATACACATCCCCGCTGGACCCCCACTGGCAGGATGAGGGCGGTTTCCTTGGTTTGCGTGCACTGTGTTCTGCGTCTGACACACTGCAACGGTTCCACATCTGTTCTTACAGATGCTCTGGACGGACTCGTTATTACCAGACAGGCAAGGCGTCCCGAGCACCCTCGCAATACTCCATGGGGTTGAGGTCTAGCCTACCCACAGGAGGTCCACGCCAGGCTTCCGCGGCCTGGAGTTCCCTGGCTCCTCCCCAGCCCTGGGGGGGGGGGGGGACTGACAGACAGGGGGACTGACAGACAGACAGAGCTCCACTTCCCCAACTGCTGCGTTTCCTAAGGGGAAACGTCTCCTCCTCCGCGGCACCACCCCACACCCAGCCGCCGTACGCAGTACGTTAGAACAGACCTTGAAATGGCTCCGCAGGAATCCCATCCACACCTTGGGCACCGCATGTGTGGTTCTGAGTTACAAAGTCTTCCTGAGCGTTTAATAAATGCCTCTCCCACGCCTCCCACCGGCCATTTCTACGCTTCAGTGATGAGCCTATCTTTGTTTTACTCTTTGTCGGTGCTGGGATTTGAACTCAGGGCTCCATGCTGGTGGGCAGACATCTCTAAATCTTTTTATCTCCCCCTTGTAAATTAGTAACTCAGAATGCAATGCAGCCATCGAGAGGATTTATGATTGCTGAAACACGGAAGTTAGAGGGACTAGCTGTTTTGTTTTCCTGTTTCGCTTGCTCACGGGAAGTGCTCACTCTTGGCTTATCTCCAGTTTTCCCAGACCTGCTGCGGGCGGTGCCGGTGAGCGTCCACATCAACGTCCTTCTCTTCACCACGATGCTCGCGGTCCTCACCACGGTGGTGGCCGGCTTCTTCATGTACAACGCCTTCGGCAAGCCCTTCGAAGCCCTGCACGGCCCGCTGGGCTTGTACCTCCTGAGCTTCATTTCAGGTAAGGACAGAGTTCCTCCTCCCGCCGGTGTGCTTCCCAGGCCCAGAGACTCTGTGGTGTTATGGAGTTCCAATGCCCAGGCTCCCTAGGAGACATGTGCCAGGAACAGGCGGAGGAACACCACCCCGCTTGACCCGATAGCTTTAAGCTGTCAGCAGGAAGCAAAGAACTCGGAGGAAGTGTTAGGTGAAAACGCAGCGCACGTTATAAATGCTGCACTGGCTTTCTGTGTAAAAGCACAGCGACCTGGCGCAGGAGTGCACAAACTAAGCACGTCAGTACACTCTATCACTGCAGATATACGGACGTTATATAGACATATGGACGTGTGGGAACAGAGGGGGAGAGGGAGGGAGGGAGGGAGGGGAGGGGGAGGGAGGGGAAGGGGGAGGGAGGTAGAGAAGGGGAGGGAGGGGAGGGGGAGGGGGAGGGGAGGGGAGGAGGGGGGAGGGGGAGGGGAGGAGAGGGAGGGCAGGGGAGGGGAGGGGAGCTGCGTCTGTAGTTTCTCAAGCCCTTGCCTCGGGCCAGCAGCACTGCAGCTGCAGTGACTCCATTTTTTCTCAGTGTCCTGTGGTGCATGATTTATTCATCATCCTAAGGAGGCGATGCCGCGGAAGGGCACTGGGGCGTGCACACCGCACGTGGCCACCATGCCCATACACCGCGCTCGGGAAGTCCAGGGAGAGACGCAGGGACTCGGGTGAGCTCTAGACCCAGAGCTCATCCCCTACCGCGTGGCTCAGCGCCGGGTGGGTGCAAAACGTACAAACCCAGCCCGTGCCACAGGGGCGGCCACACATGCACAAGGAGGGGGGCGGGAGGGAGAGCGGGCAGGGGCGAGGAGGGCGGGAGGGAGAGCGGGCAGGGGCGAGGAGGGCGGGAGGGAGAGCGGGCAGGGGCGAGGAGGGCGGGAGGGAGAGCGGGCAGGGGCGAGGAGGGCGGGAGGGAGAGCGGGCAGGGGCGAGGAGGGCGGGAGGGAGAGCGGGCAGGGGCGAGGAGGGCGGGAGGGAGAGCGGGCAGGGGCGAGGAGGGCGGGAAGGAGGAGGGCGGGAGGGAGGAGGGCGGGAGGGAGGAGGGCGGGAGGGAGAGCGGGCAGGGGCGAGGAGGGCGGGAGGGAGAGCGGGCAGGGGCGAGGAGGGCGGGAAGGAGGAGGGCGGGAGGGAGGAGGGCGGGAGGGAGGAGGGCGGGAGGGAGAGCGGGCAGGGGCGAGGAGGGCGGGAGGGAGAGCGGGCAGGGGCGAGGAGGGCGGGAGGGAGAGCGGGCGGGAGGGAGAGCGGGCAGGGGCGAGGAGGGCGGGAGGGAGAGCGGGCGGGAGGGAGAGCGGGCGGGAGGGAGAGCGGGCGGGAGGGAGGAGGGCGGGAGGGAGAGCGGGCAGGGGCGAGGAGGGCGGGAGGGAGAGCGGGCGGGAGGGAGGAGGGCGGGAGGGAGAGCGGGCAGGGGCGAGGAGGGCGGGAGGGAGAGCGGGCAGGGGCGAGGAGGGCGGGAGGGAGGAGGGCGGGAGGGAGAGCGGGCAGGGGCGAGGAGGGCGGGAGGGAGAGCGGGCAGGGGCGAGGAGGGCGGGAGGGAGAGCGGGCGGGAGGGAGGAGGGCGGGAAGGAGAGCGGGCAGGGGCGAGGAGGGCGGGAAGGAGAGCGGGCAGGGGCGAGGAGGGCGGGAGGGAGAGCGGGCGGGAGGGAGAGCGGGCAGGGGCGAGGAGGGCGGGAGGGAGAGCGGGCAGGGGCGAGGAGGGCGGGAGGGAGAGCGGGCAGGGGCGAGGAGGGCGGGAGGGAGAGCGGGCAGGGGCGAGGAGGGCGGGAGGGAGAGCGGGCAGGGGCGAGGAGGACGGGAGGGAGAGCGGGCAGGGGCGAGGAGGGCGGGAGGGAGAGAGGGCGGGAGGGGGGGTGGGAGGGAGAGCGGGCAGGGGCGAGGAGGGCGGGAGGGAGAGCGGGCACAGGGGAGGAGGGCGAGAGGGAGAGAGGGCGGGAGGGAGAGAGGGCGGGAGGGGGGGTGGGAAGGAGAGCGGGCAGGGGCGAGGAGGGCGGGAGGGAGAGCGGGCACGGGGGAGGAGGGCGAGAGGGAGAGAGGGCGGGAGGGAGAGAGGGCGGGAGGGGGGGTGGGAAGGAGAGCGGGCAGGGGGGAGGAGGGTGGGAGGGAGGGGGAGGGGGCGGGAGGGAGGGGGAGGGGGGCAGAAGGGAGGGGGACAGGAGGGCGGGAGGGAGGGAGGGAGGAGGGCAGGAAGGAGAGGGGGCGGGAGGGAGAGAGGGCCAGAGGGAGGGGGGGTGGGAGGGCGGGAGGGAGGCGGGCAGGGCCTGGCCCACGCTGCCCTCCCCACACCAAGCGTGATGGTGTGGAAACCCACACTCAGGGCCCCCGGGAGCCGTCCCGGAGCCACCCTCCCGAGACCCTCCGGCAGGACAAGACCCCGGGAACTCGGAGACCTCAGGACCAGGAAGGACCCCGGTCTTGGGGACAGGAAAGGCCCGTGGGGAGGGCCGTGTGACGGGAATGTGCGTCCTGGTGTTTGCTGCACCTTGCGGTCGGCTCCTCCTGCACTGCCGTGGCCGGTGGCGGGCACCTCCTCTGGCCGCCCAGCCTGCCCGCCCGCCAGGGCACGCTGTACCCCCCCCCACAACCCACAGCAGCTGCTGCCCAGGCACGCTGTACCCCCCACACCCCACAGCAGCTGCTGCCCGGACACGCTGTACCCCCCACACCCCACAGCAGCTGCTGCCCAGGCACGCTGTACCCCCACACCCCACAGCAGCTGCTGCCCAGACACGCTGTACCCCCCCACACCCCACAGCAGCTGCTGCCCAGACACGCTGTACCCCCACACCCCACAGCAGCTGCTGCCCAGACACGCTGTACCCCCACACCCCACAGCAGCTGCTTCCCAGACACGCTGTACCCACACACCCCACAGCAGCTGCTGCCCAGACACGCTGTACCCCCCCACACCCCACAGCAGCTGCAGCCCAGACACGCTGTACCCCCCTACACCCCACAGCAGCTGCTGCCCAGACACGCTGTACCCCCACACCCCACAGCAGCTGCTGCCCAGACACGCTGTACCCCCCACACCCCACAGCAGCTGCTGCCCAGACACGCTGTACCCCCCAACACCCCACAGCAGCTGCTGCCCAGACACGGTGCACCCCCCACACCCCACAGCAGCTGCTGCCCAGACACGCTGTACCCCCACACCCCACAGCAGCTGCTGCCCAGACACGCTGTACCCCCACACCCCACAGCAGCTGCTTCCCGGGCACGCTGCACCCCCCACACCCCACAGCAGCTGCTGCCCAGACACGCTGTACCCCCACACCCCACAGCAGCTGCTGCCCAGACACGCTGTACCCCCACACCCCACAGCAGCTGCTGCCCAGACACGTTGCACCCCCCCACACCCCACAGCAGCTGCTGCCCAGACACGCTGTACCCCCACACCCCACAGCAGCTGCTGCCCAGACACGCTGCACCCCCCCCACACCCCACAGCAGCTGCTGCCCAGACACGCTGTACCCCCACACCCCACAGCAGCTGCTTCCTGGGCACGCTGCACCCCCCACACCCAACAGCAGCTGCTGCCCAGACACGCTGTACCCCCACACCCCACAGCAGCTGCTGCCCAGACACGCTGTACCCCCACACCCCACAGCAGCTGCTGCCCAGACACGCTGCACCCCCCCACACCCCACAGCAGCTGCTGCCCAGACACGCTGTACCCCCAACACCCCACAGCAGCTGCTGCCCAGACACGCTGTACCCCCCCACACCCCACAGCAGCTGCTGCCCAGACACGCTGCGCCCCCACATCCCACAGCAGCTGCTGCCCAGCCACGCTGTACCCCCCACACCCCCACAGCAGCTGCTGCCCAGACACGCTGTACCCCCCCCACACCCCACAGCAGCTGCTGCCCAGACACGCTGTACCCCCACACCCCACAGCAGCTGCTGCCCAGACACGCTGCACCCCCCCACACCCCACAGCAGCTGCTGCCCAGACACGCTGTGCCCCCCACACCCCACAGCAGCTGCTGCCCAGACACGCTGTACCCCCCCACACCCCACAGCAGCTGCTGCCCAGACACGCTGTACCCCCCCCACACCCCACAGCAGCTGCTGCCCAGACACGTTGTACCCCCACACCCCACAGTAGCTGCTGCCCGGACACGCTGTACCCCCCAACACCCCACAGCAGCTGCTGCCCAGACACGCTGTACCCCCCAACACCCCACAGCAGCTGCTGCCCAGACACGCTGTACCCCCCAACACCCCACAGCAGCTGCTGCCCAGACACGCTGCGCCCCCACACCCCACAGCAGCTGCTGCCCAGGCATGCTGCGCCCCCCAACACCCCACAGCAGCTGCTGCCCAGACACGCTGCGCCCCCACACCCCACAGCAGCTGCTGCCCAGACACGCTGCACCCCCCCACACCCCACAGCAGCTGCTGCCCAGACACGCTGTACCCCCCAACACCCCACAGCAGCTGCTGCCCAGACACGCTGCACCCCCCCACACCCCACAGCAGCTGCTGCCCAGACACGCTGTACCCCCCCACACCCCACAGCAGCTGCTGCCCAGACACGCTGTACCCCCCCACACCCCACAGCAGCTGCTGCCCAGACACGCTGCACCCCCCCACACCCCACAGCAGCTGCTGCCCAGACACGCTGTACCCCCCCACACCCCACAGCAGCTGCTGCCCAGCCACGCTGTACCCCCACACCCCACAGCAGCTGCTGCCCAGACACGCTGCACCCCCCCACACCCCACAGCAGCTGCTGCCCAGCCACGCTGTACCCCCACACCCCACAGCAGCTGCTGCCCAGACACGCTGCACCCCCCCACACCCCACAGCAGCTGCTGCCCAGCCACGCTGTACCCCCACACCCCACAGCAGCTGCTGCCCAGACACGCTGTACCCCCCCCACACCCCACAGCAGCTGCTGCCCAGACACGCTGTACCCCCACACCCCACAGCAGCTGCTGCCCAGACACGCTGTACCCCCCCCACACCCCACAGCAGCTGCTGCCCAGACACGCTGTACCCCCACACCCCACAGCAGCTGCTGCCCAGACACGCTGCACCCCCCCACACCCCACAGCAGCTGCTGCCCAGCCACGCTGTACCCCCACACCCCACAGCAGCTGCTGCCCAGACACGCTGTACCCCCCCACACCCCACAGCAGCTGCTGCCCAGCCACGCTGTACCCCCCCACACCCCACAGCAGCTGCTGCCCAGACACGCTGTACCCTCCCACACCTCACAGCAGCTGCTGCCCAGACACGCTGTACCCCCACACCCCACAGCAGCTGCTGCCCAGACACGCTGTACCCCCCCACACCCCACAGCAGCTGCTGCCCAGACACGCTGTACCCCCCACACCCCACAGCAGCTGCTGCCCCAGACACGCTGTACCCCCCCACACCCCACAGCAGCTGCTGCCCAGACACGCTGCGCCCCCCCCACACCCCACAGCAGCTGCTGCCCAGACACGCTGCGCCCCCCCCACACCCCACAGCAGCTGCTGCCCAGACACGCTGTACCCCCACACCCCACAGCAGCTGCTGCCCAGACACGCTGTACCCCCCACACCCCACAGCAGCTGCTGCCCAGACACGCTGTACCCCCCACACCCCACAGCAGCTGCTGCCCAGACACGCTGTACCCCCCCACACCCCACAGCAGCTGCTGCCCAGACACGCTGTACCCCCACACCCCACAGCAGCTGCTGCCCAGACACGCTGTACCCCCCACACCCCACAGCAGCTGCTGCCCAGACACGCTGCGCCCCCCCACACCCCACAGCAGCTGCTGCCCGGACACGCTGTACCCCCACACCCCACAGCAGCTGCTGCCCAGACACGCTGTACCCCCCCCACACCCCACAGCAGCTGCTGCCCAGACACGCTGCGCCCCCCCACACCCCACAGCAGCTGCTGCCCAGGCACGCTGCGCCCCCCCACACCCCACAGCAGCTGCTGCCCAGGCACGCTGTACCCCCCACACCCCACAGCAGCTGCTGCCCAGACACGCTGTACCCCACACCCCACAGCAGCTGCTGCCCAGGCACGCTGTACCCCCCACACCCCACAGCAGCTGCTGCCCAGACACGCTGTACCCCCCCACACCCCACAGCAGCTGCTGCCCAGACACGCTGTACCCCCACACCCCACAGCAGCTGCTGCCCAGACACGCTGTACCCCCCACACCCCACAGCAGCTGCTGCCCAGACACGCTGTACCCCCCACACCCCACAGCAGCTGCTGCCCAGACACGCTGCACCCCCCCACACCCCACAGCAGCTGCTGCCCAGACACGCTGTACCCCCACACCCCACAGCAGCTGCTGCCCAGACACGCTGTACCCCCCACACCCCACAGCAGCTGCTGCCCAGACACGCTGTACCCCCCCACACCCCACAGCAGCTGCTGCCCAGACACGCTGTACCCCCCCACACCCCACAGCAGCTGCTGCCCGGACACGCTGTACCCCCCACACCCCACAGCAGCTGCTGCCCAGACACGCTGTACCCCCACACCCCACAGCAGCTGCTGCCCAGACACGCTGCGCCCCCCCCACACCCCACAGCAGCTGCTGCCCAGACACGCTGTACCCCCCCACACCCCACAGCAGCTGCTGCCCGGACACGCTGTACCCCCCACACCCCACAGCAGCTGCTGCCCAGACACGCTGTACCCCCACACCCCACAGCAGCTGCTGCCCAGACACGCTGCGCCCCCCCACACCCCACAGCAGCTGCTGCCCAGACACGCTGTACCCCCCCACACCCCACAGCAGCTGCTGCCCAGACACGCTGTACCCCCCAACACCCCACAGCAGCTGCTGCCCAGACACGCTGTACCCCCCCACACCCCACAGCAGCTTCTGCCCAGACACGCTGTACCCCCCACACCCCACAGCAGCTGCTGCCCAGACACGCTGTACCCCCCACACCCCACAGCAGCTGCTGCCCAGACACGCTGTACCCCCCCACACCCCACAGCAGCTGCTGCCCAGGCACGCTGTACCCCCCCACACCCCACAGCAGCTGCTGCCCAGGCACGCTGCGCCCCCCAACGCTCCAGCCCCTCCCCGTGGCTGTTCATTAGTGCTTCGTGACCCTTGTTCAGCCACACTTCTAGGAACGCAGAACGCATCTGTATTCTCCTTCATGTTGGGCCGCCACCGCTGACCCCGTTTGGCCCATAATTGAAACGCGTGAATTAATGACAGGGAACAGAAGCCGCGTGGTTGCTGTGCCCGGGGCATTTGGATTAACTGTAATGGGAGAATAAGAAGCCTTTCGCTGCCCTAAAGCAGCGGCTGTAAACATGGTGGCCCTCGCGCTAGCTGCTCGGGAGACTGGGATCTGAGGGTCCTGGTTTGAAACCAGCAGGGCCAGAGACGTCTGTGAGACTTATCTCCCACAAACCACTCCGAAAAGGCTGGAAGTGGTTCATGGCTCCAGTGGTAGAGCGCCAGCCCTGAACACAGAGAGGCTCCGGGACCGGACCCACGCCGTTCACAGCCTCTGCTGGGACCACGGCGGGCGGGGAGGAGCTGTCCACAGGGCCCTGCCCCTCACCCTGGCTGAGCAGGGCCTCTATTCTCCACAGCCACTTCCACAGACAAATCCGAGTCTGGACAGACAGACAGGCACGGTGGCACAGGCCTGGAACTCTGGTTCTTGGGGACACAGAGGCAGGAGAATCATAGAACAAAAGCGTGAGACCCTATCTCAAAAACAAAGGGCTCGGGGCTTGGCTTGGGCGGCGGAGAGCTGGCCCAGCAAGCTCACCGCACTGAGTTCGAGTCCCACCTGGGCCCAGAGGCTCCTCTGGCCACCGAGGCCACTGAGGGCCGGCGGTGTGGTCACCTTCCCTGGGAGGCCTGGGCCTTGCACCAGGGCCGGCACAACCGGCCTCACCTGTAAGGCCCGGGGCATTTGTTCTCTTGAAGCCGCAGAGCCTGGCACCGCGATTCTGCCCTTGTGTGTGCGAGGTGCCCCGCAGGTCTGCCTCACTGTTGCAGAGCCGGGCCGGAGCACCGGGGGAGAGCCTCGGGCGGCCCCACCCTCGCCCCTGCCCCCGGGCAGGAAACCCATGTGCCCCTTCTGTTGCAGGGTCCTGCGGCTGTCTGGTCATGATCCTGTTTGCCTCGGAGGTGAAAATCCACCACCTCTCAGAAAAAATTGCAAACTTCAAGGAAGGGACGTTCGCCTACAGAACGCAGAGTGAAAGATACACCACCTCCTTCTGGGTCGTTTTCATGTGCTTCTTTGTTCACTTTTTGAACGGGCTCCTGATCCGGCTGGCTGGGTTTCAGTTCCCTTTTGCAAAATCTAAAGACGCAGAGACAACTAACGTGGCTGCAGACTTAATGTACTGAAAAGCCTGTGCTTCTGTAATTTTCCCAGTAAGGGACTGAACTTGCTTTACAGTTAATTCCACCCATCCTTTCAGAGTGCATAAAGTACCAAAACCCTCTGTGAAGCTGTTTCCAACTGCCCTATGGACTCCAGCTACAGGTTCGAGAACAGAAGGCAGGCTTTGAAAGGTCGCTCTGCCTGGTGGGAAATGCTTGACCCGGGAAGTCCAGGGAGGTTGGCCGGGATGGAGAAATGGCGGCGGCACAGACATGGCCATGCTGGAGACACCTGTCCACTCAGGGGGACCAAGAGGCCCAGGAGGGCATTTGAACAAGAGACAATCTCTGAGCGACCCACGTATCTGTTGACACAGAGATGGAATTGCTTTCCTAAAATAGTAATGCATTAAATGAGCATCTCTAGAATGTACCAATTTGCATGTGTGTGTACGTGTGTGTGCTTGCATGCGCGCGTGCACACACACAGTAGTGTCAGGGCTTGAACTCAGGGCCTCACACTCTATCACTTGAGCCATACCTTCCATCCTGTCCAAAATGCTCTTTAAAAACCATTTGGAGTCAGGCGCTGGTGGCTCACGCCTGTCATCCTAGCTACTCAGGAAGCTGAGATCTGAGGATCACAGTTCAAAGCCAGCCCGGGCAGGAAAGTCCACGAGACTTTTTTTTTTTTTTTTTTTTTGCCAGTCTTGGGCTTGAACTCTGGGCCTGGGCGCTGTCCTCAGTTCTTCAGCTTAAGGCAAGCGCTCTACCACTTGAGCCACACCTCCATTTCCAGCCTTTTCTGTGTATGTGGTGCTGAGGAATCGAACCCAGGGCCTCATGCATGCGAGGCAAGCGCTCTACCACTGAGCCACCTTCCCAGCCCCTCCCTGAGACTCTTATCTCCAATTAACCAGTAAAAATAGCCAGAAGTAGCACTGTGGCTCAAGTGGTAGAGCACTCGCCTTGAGCTGAAGAGCTGAGGGACAGCGCCCAGACCCAGAGTTCAGGCCCCACGACCAAAAAAACAAAACAAGAGAAGGGAAGCAGGACCTGCCCCTGGGGTGCAGTGGTCCTGGGGTACAGTGGCCTGGGGGGCAGTGGCCTGGGGGGCAGTGGGCCCTGGGGTGCAGTGGCCTGGGGGGCAGTGGCCTGGGGGGCAGTGGCCTGGGGGCCAGTGGGCCCTGGGGTGCAGTGACCTGGGGGGCAGTGGCCTGGGGGGCAGTGGCCTGGGGTGCAGTGGCCTGGGGGGCAGTGGTCCTGGGGGGCAGTGGTCCTGGGGGACAGTGGCCTGGGGGGCAGTGGCTGGGGGGCAGTGGTCCTGGGGTGCAGTGGTCTGGGGTGCAGTGGCCTGGGGTACAGTGGCCTGGGGTGCAGTGGCCTGGAGGGCAGTGGCCTGGGGTGCAGTGGCACTGGGGTACAGTGGCCTGGGGGGCAGTGGGCCCTGGGGGGCAGTGGCCTGGGGTGCAGTGGCACTGGGGTACAGTGGCCTGGGGGGCAGTGGGCCCTGGGGTACAGTGGCCAGGGGGCAGTGGCCTGGGGTGCAGTGGCCTGGGGGCAGTGGCCTGGGGGCAGTGGCCTGGGGTGCAGTGGCCTGGGGTGCAGTGGCCTGGGGGACAGTGGCTGGGGGGCAGTGGCCGGGGTGCAGTGGCCGGGGTGCACACCCTAAGCCTACGCAGGAAGCACGTGACGGGCTTATGAGCCCCGGTGGACTGGTTTATCGGTGACGGTGACGTGTCCATCACTGGAGTGGCAGGTCCCTTGAAGACGCCCGGGAAAATCAGGACACACAGCCAGAAACACCCCAGCTCATCACGAGCCCGAGAAACAGCAGCTCCCCTCCCCAGTTTGGGGTTGCTAAATAATTTAAATGGCAGAGGTAAGATTTATTTTTTTAATATGACTTTCTAAATCGGAAATCAGGGAACATTTCTCATCATTACGTTATTGGGGAGCAAGGATCGTGTGATTTCTTATTTCCTTTTCTACACTATGGGTTCCTAATAAATATTAAACAGAGATGCTACCACTAAAAGTTTGAAACTCTACACTATAAATAAACTATAAAGGGGAAACAGAACTGCCGTGTTAGGGTGAGGATCATTCACGGACAGAGGCAGGACATAAGAAAGGACTTATTACACCGTGTGTGTGTGTGTGTGTGTGTGTGTGTGTGTGTGTGTGTGTGTGTGTGTGTGTGTGTGTGTGTGTGTGTGTGTGTGTGTGTGTGTGTGTGTGTGTGTGTGTGTGTGTGTGTGTGTCGTGGGGCCTGAACTCTGGGCCTGGGCGCTGTCCCTCAGCTCTTCAGCTCAAGGCGAGCGCTCTACCACTTGATCCACAGCACCACTTCCGGTTTTCTGGTGGTTCATTGGAGATAAGAGTCTCACAGACGTTCCTGCCCAGGCTGGCTTTGAACCGCGATCCTCAGATCTCAGCCTCCTGTGTAGCTGGGATGACAGGCGTGAGCCACCAGCGCCCGGCTGCACCTTTTATGTTTACAATAAAACACTACGTCTGGCAGAGGCGTGGGGCTCCAACGCAGCAGATCCATTAGGGGATATATGGACACACCTGTTTACACACACACATGCCACACACATACATGTGTGTACATTCACACACACATGCTGGGCACACATGAATGCACACACGCGTGTCGGTGCGTGGTGTGCACACCGCATCATACAGATACACAGGCTCACGGGATTCAGGAGTCTCGGGCCTCAGTCTTTCCTTTGATCAGATGTGGCCCCCACGGGACCAAGGGGACTCGGCCACACGCCATGGTTTAAACGTTAGTCACAGCTACACCTCAGACCTCTGCACAGTCTTGTCCGTGCCGGGTCAGAGATGGGCATGGGGTTTGCAGGTGAACGCCAGCATCCAGCTGACCGCAGCTGCAATCCGCTCAGCCCACAGGAGGAGAGGGGGCTTGCGGACCACGTCGGAGCCGCGGGCCCTGAGCGCCTCACCCCCTGCGGCTTCCCTGGCCCACCCATCATGCAGCTGCAGCCGGCAGGGCTCATTACCCCTGGCCACTGGTTCTGTCCCAGGACGCGGCCAGGCCCCGGCCCAAGCACCGTCCACCAGCTGCCATCTCAGATGCTTTGACAGACAAGTAACTGAAATCCTCTCGTTGACAAACCTCCGTCTGGGATTAAACATTCATGGTACCTATACAATGACAGAGAGTCCCGGCATTGCACCTCCAATGAAAGTTTAATCGTGGTCTGACAGCCAGGCTCTCGGTGAGCCCCGGGCAGCAGCTGCCGGCCCCAGCACCCGCCAGCCAAAGGAGAGGTGAGTGCCCTTCCTGGGGTCTCCGTCCAGAAGCCTGGCTGCTCCCAGCCAGGCCTGGTCCTCAGCTAAACAACGTCTGCCTCCTAATTCCTCCTTCAGATGGACGTGGACGTCTCCCAGCCTGGGTCCGGGGAGACAACCAGGAAACTTCTATTTCTGGACAAATGGAGAGGAATCTTTGCTTATCCCAGGTGAGAAACCCCGTGCTCCGTGCAGGAGGGTGGGGGGAGGCAGGTGTTTGAGCAACGGTGGTATCGCTTCCACACAAGAACTTTCCACCTGGGTTTCCCTTTCAAGCACCTCCTGCCCGGAGGGCCGGCCGCATCGCCCGCAAGGCCGGGCCGGGCCGGGGTGCACACGGAGTCAAATGGAGCGAGTCCTTCACTCACTGTGCTATCTCCATTCACAGGTTGGGAACCCATATCACCACTCTGCAGGTAATTACCTTCTCAAAGCCAGTGTGCACTCATCTAGGCGTGGCTTCAGACCAGCCCACCAACAGCATCATCTATGCATCCCGTGACACCATGTCACGCAGGCAGTGGCATTGAACCTGTGAACACCAGGAAGGCTCTCCTTACACATTTATTCTAGAGCTACTTTTCACCATTGAGAGCACCATATGGTTATTAAGAAAAAAGTGCAGTAATATTAGACTCTGGAGTTCCTCTACTTGTTAAAGAGAATTACAAGATTCTGTGCGACTGGGTGATCAATGTCCCAGAAGGAACGTGGCTTTGGGCGCGGTCCCCATCTTTATCGGCTTCTTTACCATTTTACAGTGGAGGAAAGACAGTGGAATTCAGGTATCAAAAAAGTGTTTTTGCCATGTGCTGGTGGCTCACGCCTGTCATCCCAGCTACTCAGGAGGCTGAGATCTGAGGATCACGGTTTGAAGCCAGCCCGGGCAGGAAAGTCCAGGAGACTCATCTCCAATTAAAGAAGTGGTGCTGTGGCTCAAGTGGTAGAGCGCCCGCCTTGAGCTGAAGAGCTGAAGGACAGCGCCCAGGCCCAGAGTTCAGGCCCCACGACCAAAAAAAAAAAAAAAGTGTTTTCATATTTTTTTTTTTTTTTCCAAATGTAAGGTTGTGGTGTTTGTGCCTGGTGACCTGAGAAGTCAGAAGGTCACGGGTGTTGTGTGTCAGTGTCGGAGCCAACGCGACACTAAATCCTGGCGTCCATGAGCAAGGTCTTCCCTGTGGGAGACAGAGCTGTTCTCTGAACTCTGGGACTGAAGGGTGGTGTCTTTGTTCCACCGCATTGGAACAGAAGTCATGGAAAGTGGGAGAAGAGTTGCTAACTTAGGCTGGAATGAGGGTGGGGTTTTTAATTGTCCCTGACTCCTGGGGAGCAGGGGTCAGAAGCAAAGAGAGCGAACCTGCTTTGTCTATTGGCATGGAACAACGCCGGCCGGTAAAGGTGGGAGGCTCGACCCCTCTGAGCGCGGCCGCCACGTGAGGCGTGGAGAGCAAGTGTGGTCTCCCAGCTGCACCCCACGTCCCCACGTCCCCTTTGACACAGACCTGGACGTCCAAACGTTCCTGCTGCTAACATCACATTAGACATCTTTGAACATGTGGACATGGGTGTTACAGAGAGAGAGAGAGAGAGAGTGCTGAGAATAATGTGACGAAAGCTAATTGAGTTAAATTAAAACAAGACCACCAACTCTGTCCTGGGGTTGGTTTTTTACAAGGATCCCGATGGCCACCAGAGACCCAGCAACAAAGGGGAAGACGGGCCCGGAGGCCCTGGGCGCTCGGGACAAAGATGCATGCCATCCGGCAGGCTCTGCCCAACTCCCACAGCTGCTCCTGACGCCCCAACGCTGGCCGGGCTTCGCATCGCCCCGACAAACGCCCGCGACCCCGCAACGCTGGCCGGGCTTCGCATCGACCCAACAGCCGCTGCGGTGGGTGCAGCGGGCAAGCCCCGGGAAGGGGAGGGAATCCCACCTGCTGTGATGTGAGAGACGAGAAGGGAAGGCGCGGGCCTGGCTAAGAGGAGAGCATCACTAGCATGAGGCATTGGAGGCACCAGTCAAGGAGAGTGGGGTTGGCGGGCTGCCCATCCCAGAGTGTGCATTCACCTGCTCCATAAAAGGTGCTCTCCCGGGGACTCAGATTCCAGACACCACTACACAAGGTAAAATAGACCAGACCGGGCAAGGCGCTCTGTGATGAAGGGGATCTCTGATGAAGGTGATCTGTGATGAAGGTGATCTGTGATGAAGGGGATCTGTGATGAAGGTGCTCTGTGATGAAGGTGATCTGTGATGATGATCTGTGATGAAGGGGATCTGTAATGAAGGGGATCTGTGATGAAGGTGATCTGTGATGAAGGGGATCTGTGATGAAGGGGATCTGTGATGAAGGTGATCTGTGATGAAGGTGATCTGTGATGAAGGGGATCTGTGATGAAGGGGATCTGTGATGATGATCTGTGATGAAGGGATCTGTAATGAAGGTGATCTGTGATGAAGGTGATCTGTGATGAAGGTGATCTGTGATGAAGGTGATCTGTGATGAAGGTGATCTGTGATGAAGGGGATCTGTGTTGGTGATCTGTGATGAAGGTGATCTGTGATGAAGGTGATCTGTGATGAAGGTGCTCTGTGATGAAGGTGATCTGTGATGAAGGTGATCTGTGATGATGATCTGTGATGGTGATCTGTGATGAAGGTGATCTGTGATGATGATCTGTGATGAAGGTGATCTGTGATGAAGGTGATCTGTGATGAAGGGGATCTGTGATGAAGGGGATCTGTGATGAAGGGGATCTGTGATGAAGGTGATCTGTGATGAAGGGGATCTGTGATGAAGGGGATCTGTGATGAAGGTGATCTGTGATGAAGGTGATCTGTGATGAAGGTGATCTGTGATGATGATCTGTGATGAAGGTGATCTGTGATGAAGGGGATCTGTGATGAAGGGGATCTGTGTTGGTGATCTGTGATGAAGGTGATCTGTGATGAAGGGGATCTGTGATGAAGGTGATCTGTGATGAAGGGGATCTGTGATGAAGGGGATCTGTGATGAAGGGGATCTGTGATGATCTGTGATGGTGATCTGTGATGAAGGTGATCTGTGATGATAATCTGTGATGAAGGTGATCTGTGATGATGATCTGTGATGAAGGTGATCTGTGATGAAGGGGATCTGTGATGAAGGTGATCTGTGATGAAGGGGATCTGTGATGAAGGGGATCTGTGATGAAGGTGATCTGTGATGAAGGTGCTCTGTGATGAAGGTGATCTGTGATGAAGGTGATCTGTGATGATGATCTTTGATGAAGGTGATCTGTGATGAAGGGGATCTGTGTTGGTGATCTGTGATGAAGGTGATCTGTGATGAAGGTGATCTGTGATGAAGGTGATCTGTGATGAAGGGGATCTGTGATGGTGATCTGTGATGAAGGGGATCTGTGATGAAGGGGATCTGTGATGAAGGTGATCTGTGATGAAGGTGATCTGTGATGATGATCTGTGATGAAGGTGATCTGTGATGAAGGTGATCTGTGATGAAGGGGATCTGTGTTGGTGATCTGTGATGAAGGTGATCTGTGATGAAGGGGATCTGTGATGAAGGGGATCTGTGATGATGATCTGTGATGGTGATCTGTGATGAAGGTGATCTGTGATGATGATCTGTGATGAAGGGGATCTGTGATGATGATCTGTGATGAAGGTGATCTGTGATGAAGGGGATCTGTGATGAAGGTGATCTGTGATGAAGGGGATCTGTGATGAAGGGGATCTGTGATGAAGGTGATCTGTGATGAAGGTGCTCTGTGATGAAGGTGATCTGTGATGAAGGGGATCTGTGATGAAGGGGATCTGTGATGAAGGTGATCTGTGATGAAGGTGATCTGTGATGATGATCTTTGATGAAAGTGATCTGTGATGAAGGGGATCTGTGTTGGTGATCTGTGATGAAGGTGATCTGTGATGAAGGTGATCTGTGATGAAGGTGATCTGTGATGAAGGGGATCTGTGATGGTGATCTGTGATGAAGGGGATCTGTGATGAAGGGGATCTGTGATGAAGGGGATCTGTGATGAAGGTGATCTGTGATGAAGGTGATCTGTGATGATGATCTGTGATGAAGGTGATCTGTGATGAAGGTGATCTGTGATGAAGGGGATCTGTGTTGGTGATCTGTGATGAAGGTGATCTGTGATGAAGGGGATCTGTGATGAAGGGGATCTGTGATGATGATCTGTGATGGTGATCTGTGATGAAGGTGATCTGTGATGATGATCTGTGATGAAGGGGATCTGTGATGATGATCTGTGATGAAGGTGATCTGTGATGAAGGGGATCTGTGATGAAGGTGATCTGTGATGAAGGGGATCTGTGATGAAGGGGATCTGTGATGAAGGTGATCTGTGATGAAGGTGCTCTGTGATGAAGGTGATCTGTGATGAAGGGGATCTGTGATGAAGGGGATCTGTGATGAAGGTGATCTGTGATGAAGGTGATCTGTGATGAAGGTGATCTGTGATGATGATCTGTGATGAAGGTGATCTGTGATGAAGGGGATCTGTGATGAAGGTGATCTGTGATGAAGGGGATCTGTGATGAAGGGGATCTGTGATGAAGGTGATCTGTGATGAAGGTGATCTGTGATGAAGGTGATCTGTGATGATGATCTGTGATGAAGGGGATCTGTGATGAGGGGGATCTGTGATGAAGGTGATCTGTGATGAAGGGGATCTGTGATGATGATCTGTGATGTTGATCTGTGATGAAGGTGATCTGTGATGATGATCTGTGATGATGATCTGTGATGAAGGTGATCTGTGATGAAGGGGATCTGTGATGAAGGTGATCTGTGATGAAGGTGATCTGTGATGGTGATCTGTGATGAAGGTGATCTGTGATGAAGGGGATCTGTGATGAAGGGGATCTGTGATGAAGGGGATCTGTGATGAAGGGGATCTGTGATGAAGGGGATCTGTGATGAAGGTGATCTGTGATGAAGGGGATCTGTGATGAAGGTGATCTGTGATGATGATCTGTGATGAAGGTGATCTGTGATGAAGGGGATCTGTGATGAAGGTGATCTGTGATGAAGGTGATCTGTGATGAAGGGGATCTGTGATGAAGGGGATCTGTGATGAAGGGGATCTGTGATGAAGGGGATCTGTGATGAAGGGGATCTGTGATGAAGGTGATCTGTGATGAAGGGGATCTGTGATGAAGGTGATCTGTGATGATGATCTGTGATGAAGGTGATCTGTGATGAAGGGGATCTGTGATGAAGGGGATCTGTGATGAAGGTGATCTGTGATGAAGGGGATCTGTGATGAAGGGGATCTGTGATGAAGGTGATCTGTGATGAAGGTGATCTGTGATGAAGGGGATCTGTGATGAAGGTGATCTGTGATGAAGGGGATCTGTGATGAAGGGGATCTGTGATGGTGATCTGTGATGAAGGGGATCTGTGATGAAGGGGATCTGTGATGAAGGTGATCTGTGATGAAGGTGATCTGTGATGATGATCTGTGATGATGGTGATCTGTGATGAAGGTGATCTGTGATGAAGGTGATCTGTGATGGTGATCTGTGATGATGGTGATATGTGATGAAGGTGATCTGTGATGAAGGGGATCTGTGATGGTGATCTGTGATGATGGTGATCTGTGATGAAGGTGATCTGTGATGATGATCTGTGATGAAGGTGATCTGTGATGAAGGGGATCTGTGATGAAGGTGATCTGTGATGGTGATCTGTGATGGTGATCTGTGATGATGGTGATCTGTGATGAAGGTGCTCTGTGATGAAGGGGATCTGTGATGAAGGGGATCTGTGATGAAGGGGATCTGTGATGGTGATCTGTGATGAAGGTGATCTGTGATGAAGGGGATCTGTGATGAAGGGGATCTGTGATGAAGGGGATCTGTGATGGTGATCTGTGATGAAGGTGTTCTGTGATGAAGGGGATCTGTGATGAAGGGGATCTCTGATGTAGCTGTTCTATGATGTCAGTTACTCTGTTATGGACATGGTAAGAGTGTTTGGCCAGCACCTTAGACCTGTAAGTAAGATCTGCAGCACACTTTGGCGCAGGACACTGCATGGAATCAGGGCCCATCTCCGTGGGCTCTAGATTCCCAGGGAAGCCCCTGGTTTTACCCGGAGGGCTGGGCCTAGGGTGAGTCCTCTGGCTGAATGGTTCACTTCTCCTTTGCAGAAGCTGAGACAGAGCCTCTTTGGGGACGCGGCCCAGGTCTTCAGCCGTGACTGGCAGAGGGCCGGATTCACGTTCCACCATCCTTCTTCTGACCTGGCTTTGACTTTGGAAGTCACAACAGTAATAACCAATTTTTCTAATTTCTAAACAGCTAGTTTTTCTAAATCCCCAACTCAATTTCTCAGATTATCATCTGTATTTTTCTACTGTCTACACCAGCAGGAGTTCATACGTTCCTTATAGCCATAGTTAGAAACACACATGTAAGCCAGGCACCTGTGGGTCACACCTATAATCCTAGGAGACTGAGATCTGAGGATCGCAGTTCAAAGCCAGCCCGGGCAGAGAAGTCCGTGAGACTCTCATCTCTAATTAACTACCAAGAAGCCAGAAGTGGAGCTGTGGGTCAGGTGGTAGAGTGTTAACCTTAGTGTAGAAGCTCACAGACCATGCCCAGCTCCTGAGTTTTAGCCCAGGATTAGTGCTTGCACACACACACACACACACACAAACGCACGCACGTGTGTGCGCACACACACACACATGCATCTCTATAACTTAAAACATAATGTCTAACAGTCAGAGATGGCTCCAGCACGCCATGCTCTGTGTGTAGAGGAAGCCCCAGCGGGGTCCCTCCACCCTCAGATTCCAGTCCTGCCTGCCCCAGTCACCCGCCCAGCTTCCCTCCTGTCCGGTCGGTGGGAGGGGAGTCATGGAGGGGCACGGGTTAGGATTAGCCCCAGGCAGAGGCCCCCCGCGACACGGGGAGGGGAGGCCCTGCCGGGCTCAGGGAGGAGGAAGGCGCCATCCCCAAGGTCCCCCCCCCCATGGCCGCCCCCGCCAGGGAGGTGCACGGAGCATCCAGATGGCTGTGCAGGGGTTTGTCCTCAAGCACCTGTTGTTCACCAGAAGCGCGGAAGCCGGCCAGCTGTGCGGGTAAGACTCTGGAGGGGGCCGGTCCACGGGGCCTCCCACTGACCCCCACACTGCCCCTGGGCCCGTCCTGGGGAGCGGGCGTCCCCTCGGGCCGGGGCACGAGCCCAGCCAGGGAGAGGAAGCCCAGGCTCTTGCTGAGCCCACGTGCAGGTCACCTGGGGTTCTGAGGAGCCAAGGGCCGGACGCCCGGTAAATCAAGGGCCCCCGCCTCGGACGAGGCCAACAATCAGGGTGACCGTCGAATATGTCTAACAAAGACAGCTCTCACGTATTTGAATTTAGTCTCAGAAATGAACAAGACCCTCTCACGTGCAGAGTCCTAAGTTAGCTGTGAGAGAGGAGAGGAATCAGTAAGAAGCAAAGACTGGCCTCGGGCAAAGCAAGGCACCACCCAGGGGCGGGCTTGGAAAGGGCTGGCGTGGAGGGCCGGGGACCCCAGCGGAGTTCAGGACGGAGGACGGAGGACGGAGGACTGAGGACCAAGGACGGAGGAGGGAGGAGGGAGGGAGGGGGGAGGAGGGGGGAGGAGGGAGGAGGGAGGAGGGAGGAGGGAGGGGGAGGGAGGAGGGGGGAGGGAGGGGGAGGGGGAGGGGGGAGGAGGGAGGAGGGAGGAGGGAAGTACAGAGGAGGGAGGAGGGATGAGGGAGGAGGGAGGGAGGAGGGAGGAGGGAGGGGAGAGGAGGGAGGGGGGAGGAGGGAGGGGGGAGGAGGGAGGGAGGAGGGAGGAGGGAGGAGGGAGGAGGGAAGTACAGAGGAGGGAGGAGGGAGGAGGGAGGAGGGAGGAGGGAGGAGGGAGGAGGGAGGAGGGAGAAGGGAGGAGGGAGGAGGCAGGAGGGAGAGGGGAAGGAGGGAGGAGGGGGGAGGGGGGAGGGGGGAGGAGGGAGGGGGAAGGAGGGAGGAGGGGGGAGGGGGGAGGAGGGAGGGGGGAGGAGGGAGGGGGAGGAGGGAGGGGGGAGGAGGGAGGAGGGGGGATGAGGGAGGAGGGAGGGGGAGGAGGGAGGGGGGAGGAGGGAGGTCGGAGGCTGGAGCTGGGTGACCGAGGGGCTCCTCTCCAGGGACCCCGGTGTGGGCACAGCCAGGCGACATCCTCATGGCGCAGGCTGACGAAGGCCAGACACTTGTGCTGGGCAGGGACACCGCGCAGCCGGCAGGCAGCCCGTGGCGCCGCCCCGTCCTCCGGCCCCTGTGTTGCAGGCTGCGTGGGCTGAGCGGGCCAGAGCAGGAGCGAGCCCTGGCCGCCGCCCTGGCCGACATCCTGTGGGCGGCCGGAGCAGCACAGAGGGCCACCGTCTGCCTGGCCCCGGGGGACCATCGCGCAGCCCCCACGCCCAACCACGCCGGGGCCGACATCACGGAGAGGGTAGGCGCGCCGCACCCGTGCAGCCACGCACGAGGGCGGAGCGTGTGGGGGGCGCGTGCGTGCATGTGTGCACCTGTGCGTGTGTGCATCTGTGTGTGCATCTGTGTGCATGTGTGCATCTGTGTGCATGTGTGCACCTGTGTGTGTGTGCATCTGTGTGCATGTGTGTGCATGTGTGTACCTGTGCATGTGTGCATCTGTGTGTGCATGTGTGTGCATGTGTGTGCATGTGTGTACCTGTGCGTGTGTGCATCTGTGTGCATGTATGTACCGGTGCGTGTGTGCATCTGTGTGCATGTGTGCACATGTGTGTGTGCATCTGTGTGTGCATCTGTGTGCATGTGTGTGCATGTGTGTACCTGTGCGTGTGTGCATCTGTGTGTGCATCTGTGTGCATGTGTGTGCATGTGTGTACCTGTGCGTGTGTGCATCTGTGTGCATGTGTGTGCATGTGTGTACCTGTGCGTGTGTGCATCTGTGTGTGCATCTGTGTGCATGTGTGCACCTGTGCGTGTGTGCATCTGTGTGCATGTGTGTACCTGTGCGTGTGTGCATCTGTGTGCATGTGTGTACCTGTGCGTGTGTGCATCTGTGTGCATGTGTGTACCTGTGCGTGTGTGCATCTGTGTGCATGTGTGTACCTGTGCGTGTGTGCATCTGTGTGCATGTGTGTGCATGTGTGTACCTGTGCGTGTGTGCATCTGTGTGTGCATCTGTGTGCATGTGTGTGCATGTGTGTACCTGTGCGTGTGTGCATCTGTGTGTGCATCTGTGTGCATGTGTGTACCTGTGCGTGTGTGCATCTGTGTGTGCATCTGTGTGCATGTGTGTGCATGTGTGTACCTGTGCGTGTGTGCATCTATGTGTGCATCTGTGTGCATGTGTGTGCATGTGTGTACCTGCGTGTGTGCATCTGTGTGCATGTGTGCACCTGTGTGTGTGTGCATCTGTGTGTGCATCTGTGTGCATGTGTGCACCTGTGTGTGTGTGCATTTGTGTGTATGTGTGCACCTGTGCGTGTGTGCATCTGTGTGTGCATGTGTGTACCTGTGCGTGTGTGCATCTGTGTGTGCATCTGTGTGCATGTGTGTACCTGTGCATGTGTGCATCTGTGTGCATGTGTGCACCTGTGCGTGTGTGCATCTGTGTGTGCATCTGTGTGCATGTGTGTACCTGTGCATGTGTGCATCTGTGTGTGCATGTGTGTACCTGTGCGTGTGTGCATCTGTGTGCATGTGTGTACCTGTGTGCACCTGTGCGTGTGTGCATCTGTGTGTGCATCTGTGTGCATGTGTGCAGCTGTGCGTGTGTGCATCTGTGTGCATCTGTGTGCATGTGTGCACCTGTGCGTGTGTGCATCTGTGTGTGCATCTGTGTGCATGTGTGTACCTGTGCGTGTGTGCATCAGCTGTGTGGGAGGCTGGGGAGGAGGCGGGCCGCACACAGACCTCTCTGCTCCCTCTCGGCCCTAGCTACAGCTGTTTGAATTTCCCGAGAAAGCAGCCATGGAGAAGTTCATCTGCGATCACGTGCAGAGTGTAAGTGTCCGGTGCTGAGGCCTGCCTTCCCGCGGCACCCAGCCCGCGGGATCCTCTCCGTTTGGGGGGCATGCTTCTAACAGGCATTTTTGAAGGGCTAATTGGGGGCGAAGAAAGGGATAGACAGGAAGAGAAGCCGGCCTCTCCCTCCCAGCCTCCCCGGTGTGAGAGGGCCGTGGCCTTATTCACAGGGACTGTCGGGTCAGGAGAGGTCAGACGGGGGCGGAGTGGGGCCCAGGGGTTCCCCCTCTCTCTCTAGGGGAACCCCATCGTCACAGACACTCGGGGAACGCAGTGCGCGGTAACCCAGGCCGAAACGGCAAGGGCTGGTCGTAGGTTCTTTACGAGGGAAAGAGGGGGAGAGGGCGGGAGAGGAGCTGTCGGCGGAGCAGCGGTGCTTTCTAGAAGGTGGGCACCCAGAGACAGCCTGCTCCCGGGGGCTCGGAAGGCCGGCGGCCGGCGCTTGCTCCACGGAGAGCCACCGAGCCACGGCCGTGGTGTTGACGGACACGGAAGCCACGGCGGCCCAGGGCGCTCCGGGCGGCCCGTCGCTCACACGCGTGCAGGATGGTTGTTTGACTTCCCTGCCGGTCCTGGGCTGCGGTGCGTTCTGCGGCAGGCATGCCGGGACCCGGCCTCCCCCCCCCCCCCCCCCGTGCCGCGGCTCCAGGGGCCTCAACCCTGGGCACCACAAGCCAGAGGCAGAGACCTGACCGCACGCGCAAGGCCGGCACAGACGGCGCGATCTGGGGACCACACGTGACCTTCAGAAAGGTCGAAGCAGACGGTCATCTGGCCAAGAAACGGAGGCAGGCCTCAAAGAGAGACCAACGCCGCTTTTGCTTTGGATCCAGAATGGCCTAAGAGCTGTGTGCTCCTCCGCTCGTTCAACCTTTGCAACGAACACGGGGAAAGTTTGTTTTTCTCCTGCGATCACAGACGGAACTGCGGGAGGCTGGAACTCAATGAAACTCCTAAGTAGGTGTCCGTCGTAGAGCTGGTCTGGACCCCGATCTGAGTCTCCATGCCTTCTCTGAGCTCTGTGAGCAGCGGTTGGCAAGGCCAGCAAGAGGGCGCCGAGAGCGCGGCCCGGCACTGAGCGTCTGCCAGGAAACATTCTCGGCCTGCGATCTGAAGAGAATCGCTGGTGCCGGAGGACGGGAAGCCGGGGAACGCGACGGCGGCCGTGGCCATGGGCAGGCTAGGAGCCCCGAGTGGAACAAGAGCAGGGTTGGGGCGGGGGGCGGCCGGGGGGGGGGCGGCCGTGGGGGGGTCAGGCGTGGAGGGGGCGGCCATGGGGCGGGGGGCCGTGGGGCGGCTGGGGGGGCCGCTGTGGGGAGGGGGCTGCCAGGGGAGGCGGCCATGGGGGGGGCGGCTGTGGGGGGGCGGCCGTGGGGGGGCGGCCGTGGGGGGGGGCGGCTGTGGGGGGGCGGCCGTGGGGGGGGCGGCTGTGGGGGGGCGGCCGTGGGGGGGCGGCTGTGGGGGGGCGGCCGTGGGGGGGCGGCTGTGGGGGGGCGGCCGTGGGTGGGGGCGGCTGTGGGGGGGCGGCCGTGGGGGGGGGGCGGCTGTGGGGGGGGCGGCCGGGGGGAGGGGTGGCCGTGGGGCGGGGGGGCGGCTGTGGGGGGGCGGCTGTGGGGGGGCGGCCGTGGGGGGGCGGCTGTGGGGGGGCGGCCGTGGGGGGGGGCGGCTGTGGGGGGGCGGCCGTGGGGGGGGCGGCCGTGGGGGGGCGGCCGTGGGGGGGCGGCTGTGGGGGGGGCGGCCGTGGGGGGGCGGCTGTGGGGGGGGCGGCCGTGGGTGGGGGCGGCTGTGGGGGGGGCGGCCGTGGGTGGGGGCGGCTGTGGGGGGGGCGGCCGTGGGGGGGCGGCCGTGGGGGGGGGGCGGCCGTGGGAGGGCGGCCGTGGGGGGGGGCGGCCGTGGGAGGGCGGCCGTGGGGGGGCGGCCGTGGGTGGGGGCGGCTGTGGGGGGGCGGCCGTGGTGGGGGGGGCTGTGGGGGGGTTCCTGTGCATCCTGCGGGTCTCAGGCTGCGAGCCCACAACCTCGTGCCCCCTTTCCGCCGTGGCTTTCAGGTAAAAACACTTTCCTTCCTCAAACAGTTCCAAGGAGAAGGAAGCCACGGAGTCATCCTGTTTCTTTGCAGCCTGGTTTTCTCCAGAACGTTCCAGAGGTAGGTTCTCCCAGTGTTGGTTCGGGAGCTCCAGGGCGTGGCGTCCCTGGGGACGGGCCCGGGGCATCTCCCCCCTCCGGCTGGACACTCCAGCCTTTCCCCCGGTGGACGCGCCTCTCGACACCCCTCCGGCCTGGGCTTGGCCTGTGACTCGGCAGTCGGATGTCTACGCGATCACGCAGCCATGCTCTCCATGAGACCGCATGCAGCCATGAGCCAAGGCGCAGACCCGCCCTCCCGCAGCCTCCAACGCGGGGCGGAGCAGAGCACTGGCTCAGGGGGTAGAGCACCAGCCTCAGGAACAGGACCCAGGCCCTGAGTTCAAGCCCTGGGACCGGTGCACACACAGAGACACAAAACACAGCAGTCCCAGCGGGGCCCAAGCCGGGAAGGGTCCCGGCAGACAGGGTGTCCAGAGATGGCTGGTGTGGAAGAAGCGAGCTTCCCTGGGGCGGAGATGGTGACCTCTCCCCTCCCACCTGTCCCCCCCCCCTGCACCCCCCTGGGCCCCCCCCCCACGCCCCTCCCACCCCCGGGCCGGTCCCCGAGGACTTCCCGGTGGGCTTTGGGGGTGGACGTGGCGGGAAGGCCCCTCCGTCCCGGCCCTGCTCCCCACCGCCTGCCCCTCCCACAGGCTTCAGCGCGACCTGGGCTCCGCCACCACAGCCCTGCTGCGGCCCAGCACCGGAGGCTTCCGGTGCAGGCAGGTGGGTGGCACCTGTGCTTACGGCCTAGACGCGGCCCCTCCTTCCCCTGAGCATCCCGTGGCCTTCGAGAGAAAAAGATGCTGCCGGGCGCCGGTAATCCCAGCTACTCAGGAGGCCGAGATCTGAGGATCGCGGTTCAAAGCCAGCCTGGGCAGGAAACTCCATGAGACTCTGATCTCCAATGAACCCTCAGAAAACCAGAAGTGGCGCTGTGGCTCAAGTGGTAGAGCGCCAGCCTTGTGTAAAACTTAGCTCAAGGCTAGCACCTGGGTTCTGAGTTCAAGCCCCAAGACTGGCACCCAAAAAAAGTAAATTAGAGGAGGAAAATGAGGGTGGAGAGGGGCCTTGCTGGCAGAGGCTCACTTGCGTCACCTACCAAGGTGGAAGGGGTTGTACGGGAGCTCGATCACGAGAGCCAGAGACGCCGCAGTTTGAGATGGAGCTGGGGATCTTTATCCGGAGGCTGGCGTCCACACTGGACTCCGGCAGCCCAGAACGTAACTCGCTCAGCGCTTTTAAAGACCAAAGCCATGTGTTTGGGATGGAGACCTGGCCCAAGCAAAGCACCCAGGGAAAAGCATCTAGGGAAATACAATTCCCGTGCAGCAGAACCATCAAAGCTGAGCAAATCCAACCATTCAGGGAGACAGGGCGGCCCAAGCCCAGCCAGCATGGCCTCTGCCATCCAAGGGAAGCCCCTCCCCTCTGGGCCGGTCACAGGTCAGGGGTCAGGGGCAGCCCTGCACCCAGGGCTGCGAGGCCGGGCCGGTCACAGGTTCGGGGTCAGGGGCAGCCCCGCACCCAGGGCCGCGTGGCCAGTCACGGGTCGGGGGTCAGGGGCAGCCCTGCACCCAGGGCCGCGTGGCTGGGGACCAGGCGGTCACTCAGACCCGGCCTCCATACTTGGAGACACAGCTGGTTTCTCCCGAATTGTGTCCCCGGTTCAGAGGTGGTGTGTTGCTCAATGCTTGTTGAAGACGCCCTGTCCGCACCTGTCACCCTGCCCCAGGCCGTGCTGAACTTGATTCTTACGGGACGAGCGAGCCCCGCAGTCTCCGACGGCGTGGAAGGCGCGGAAGGCGAGCTCGCGGGCGCGCCGGGCGGGGTCCTGACCCGCAGCGACATGGGCTACCTGCAGTGGGGCAAAGACGGACCCGGGGGCCACGGCCTCCCGCCGGTGAGTGCCGCCACGGGCCTGGGCCATGGCCTCCCGCCAGTGAGTGCCGCCACGGGCCGGGGCCACGGCCTCCCGCCGGCGAGTGCTCCCCGTGAGTGCCGCCACGGGCCGGGGCCACGATCTCCACCACCCCTGAGTGCCACCACGGGCCGGGGCCACGATCTCCACCACCCCTGAGTGCCACCACGGGCTGGGGCCACGGCCTCCCGCTGGCGAGTGCTCCCCGTGAGTGCTGCCACGGGCCGGGGCCATGATCTCCACCACCCGAGTGCCGCCACGGGCCGGGGCCACGGCCTCCCCCCCGCCCCCCCCCCCCCCCCCCCCCGTTCCCAGCCCAGAAACCAGAAAACAAAAGTCCAGATATGACGGCAGTTCAAGTCTGAACCACTCTTCTCCTTTACTGCATTCCTGTTGGCCTCTTATCACTACACACATACTCACACGTACACACATGCTCACACACGCTCACACACTCACACACATACACGCATGCTCACATACATGCACGCTCACATACACACATACACACACATGATCACACATGCTCACGCGCACATGCTCACACACATACACACGCTCACTCACACACACTCACGCTCACACACACGCATACACACATGCTCACACACGCTCACACACATACACATGCTCACACACATACACACATGCTCACACACACTCATACATATGCGCTCACACACACTCACACATGCTCACACACACGCTAACACACACACATGCTCACTCATGCTCACGCTCATAAACGCTCACAATGCTCATTCACACACACATGCTCACATACTCACATGCTCACACGTGCTCACGCTCATACACACACATGCTCATCCACACACATGCTCACACACATGTTCACACACACGCTAACACACACACACATGCTCACTCACACTCACGCTCACACACACGCATACACACATGCTCACACACACGTTCACGCACTGCAGAAACTCCGAGCTTTCGGCTTCATGTTTGCATCACGCACCTTTCGTGTCTGTAGAACATGGATAATGGAAGTGATGTGGGAAAGTATTTCTAAAAATTATTTGCAATGTACAAAGCCGGGCGCCGGCGGCTCACGCCTGCCATCCCGGCTGCTCAGGAGGCCGAGAGCTGAGGACCACGGTTCAAAGCCAGCCCGGGCAGGAACGTCCGTGAGACTCTGACCTCCACTGAACCACCAGAAAAAGCCAGAAGTGCACTGTAGCCAGCGGTGGAGCTCCAGCCTTGAGCACAGAGGCTCCGGGGCAGCGCCCAGGCCCGGAGTCCAAACCTCAGGATGGACAAAAGTAAGACAAAATGAAGGGCTGCACAAGTCTCTGGAAAGACCTCCCCTCCGGCTGCAGGGGACCCGCTGTCAGGCACAGACGCTGTCCAGCGCTGGCGCTTCCCACCCTGCGACTTCACAAGCTGACACGGGAAAGGGCCGCGCCCACGGAACCCCGTCAAAAGTACTTCCAGCCAGGGACTCACCCCGACGAAGTGTCAGCCGCACGCTGGCACACAACCCGAGCTGGAGGGCGGACACCACAAAGACCAGCGGGCAGCCAAGGCGGAAGCAAACACCCCCCGGACCCCAGAGCAACGCGGTGTCCGCGGTGTCTCCACAGACGTGAGATCTCATCCTGAGACCCAGAGCCTGTCAGCAGGCAGACAGACAGACAGACACCCTGCTCAGCAGGACCCCCCCTCCCCAGCCAGGCTCTCCGCCTTTGCATCTCCATCACCTGTGAAGGACACCTATGTACTGTCTTCAGTGTGGGCCTCATGACACTAAGACTTTCCTGCCCGGGCTGGCTTTGAACCACGATCCTCAGATCTCTGACAGGGATTACATTTATTCTTTACCTCACCTGCAAACCAACCCAAGAATTCACTCTTCCCGTGAGACCACCTGGCTCTTTAGTCGAGTCCACTAAGGAAAACCACAGCCCCACGGCGCCCGTGGTGCACCGCCAGCCGCGAGGCCTTCCTGGTCGGCCCGCACAGCCTCACACGCCTCGGGAAGCCGGGGAGCTGTGGTGGCGCTGTCCACATACCTTGTGTCCCCCTCCTAGGTGGGCAGCAGGCTGAAGACGCCCCGGTTTCCCATCTGGCTGTGCAGCATCCACGGCCACCACAGCCTCCTCTTCTGCACCGACAGACGGCTGCTCTCCGACTGGAGAGCGGAGCGCGTCTTCCAGCTGCACTTCTACAGTGGCCACCCCTCCCAGGAGGGGCCCGTGCAGCTCACAGTAGGTGAGCGCTTCGGCCCGGCCACCTGGGCTACCAGCCTGCGGAGTTCCCACCCAAGCCCTTCTTCCGGGACCTTTTATCTTGGAGCGCGGGGCGTTAACGCCTGAGCAAAGATGCGCCAGAACAGTGAGGAGGGCGCTCCCGCTGGCCACTTAACCCCAGGTGGCCAGCCGGGCCGGGCCAGAACAGCAAGGAGGGCGCTCCCGCTGGCCAAACCCCAGCTGGCCAGCCGGGCCGGGCTGTCACCCTCACTACTCGGGAGTTGAGACCCAGGGTTCACCCCTCAAGGCCAATCCAGGCAGAAAGGTCCTCCCAATTTCATCCCCCAAACACCCAGCAAACAGCTAGCCTAGCGGCATGGCTGAAGTGGTAGAGAGCGTCTAGCAAGCACAATTAGTGAGTCCAAGGCCCTGAATTGAAACCCAGGGAAAGGAAGGGGGGAGGGGAGGGGAGGGGGGAGGGGAAGGGGAGGGGGAGGGGAGGGGAGCAGGCAGCCCCAGCGTGGCCAGGGGGGTAGGGGAGGGGAGGGGAGGGGAGGGGGGAGGGGGGAGGGGGAAGGGAGGGGAGGGGGAGGGGAGGGGAGTAGGCAGCCCCAGCGTGGCCAGGGAGGGAGGGGAGGGGAGGGGAGGGGAGGGGAGCAGGCGGCCCTGGCATGGTGGGGGGGGGGGGCCTCCCGGCGTAGGCGCACACCGCGGTGTGCACGGCTGCCCTTCTGCAGACACCCACGCCCACCCCTGGGAGCAGGATGGCGGCGCAGACGGTCCCGGCCCAGGACGACGGTGCTGCCCGGTGGAGATGGTGATCAGAACCAAGTGGAGAGAGGCCACGGTCGCCTGGAATGGGGCTCTTCCTCTGTTCTAGGAGAGAACTGGGGATGAGCCTCCAGTAGCCAGAGCCGGGCCTCCTGCCAATCCCGAGCTGGGCCTTGCCTGTCACTCTCCTGGGAGGGGTCGCAGGCCCCAGCGCGGGGTCGTGTGGCATGCCCTCTGGGGTCACGGGGTTGTGGGGCATGCCCTCTGGTGTCACGGGGTTGCGGGGCGTGCCCTCTGGGGTCACGGGGTCATGTGGCATGCCCTCTGTGGTCTCCTCCACCCTAACCCTTCATCTCACCCAAAACAGAACGCAGCCCTCTCCTCTGTGGGTCCCAAACACGCCTTGCCCCGCACGAGTCTCTGCCAGGCCTGTGGAGGGAGGGGCGGCTTCCATCTAGGGACCAGGCCGCCGCGCCGGCTGCGGGAAGCTCTCGCACACCCACGTGCAAGCCGTGACCTCAGCAGTGGCTTCCTCGGGCAGAGGCTCCCGGCAGGCTGGCGGCTTGGCCTGCGGCCGGGCCAGCGGAGGACGAGGCCAGGCCAGGAGCCGGCATCCCACCAGGACTGCGTCTGCTTTCTCTTCTATACACTGGCATCGGTGACTAGCAAAAGCTGAAGAGAAGTCTCATTCCCGCACAGACCAGGATTCTACGCAAAAATAGCATCCACGCATCGGCCGGTGTCTGAGGGCGGCTGTCCAGTTAGGAATGTGGTCGGTCGAATGCCTGGCCGTGTTCTGAACAGACTCAGAACAAGCACACTCTTCCGACAGAACCCTCCAGACGCCCCGTCCGCCACCTCCCAGGCCGCCACCTCCCACCCCCAGGATTTAAATCCGGAAATCACGGGCCAGTTTCCAAGGCACAACATTCCTACGTTCGTGGACAATGCTGATGTGTTCGGTGGATTTTCGTGTGGCACAATAATAATGCTGTCCCTTGAGGAATGAGTAGAAAATGGAAACGCGGCGCATGGTGAACGGGGCCAGCCAGGGCCAGCACAGCTGGGCTGCAGGAGCCTGAGCCCCACGCGGAGCCCCACGCGGTGTTCCCCGGGGTGTGGAGAAGCACAGGCCGGGCCGCTCCTCCTCCCGCCTTGCTCCTTGTCCCTCTGCTTCAGGACACCGAGTTATCTCCTACTGATAATGGTGCTTTCGGTGCTGACCGCTGCTGGAAGGCTAGAAGTCAGTCAGAAAGGATTCTGCATTTCGTGAGGGTCCATTCGGCTACCACCAAACGTCTCAAACAAGGCTGGGATGCGCTGACCAGCACTGTGAGCCAGGGCAACGAGATTCGTACTCCGGACTGGGCAGAGGACCCTGATTCGGGGACAGAACCAAGTTTCTGCACAGGAAGAAGAGCGGAGTGAGGGCCGGGGAACAGCAGCCGTGTCACCGGCAGCCAGGCGGGTCACCGGCAGCCGGGCGGGTCGCCGGCAGCCGGGCGCGTCGCCGGCAGCCGGGCGCGTCGCCGGCAGCCGGGCGCGTCGCCGGCAGCCGGGCGCGTCGCCGGCAGCCGGGCACATCGCCGGCAGCCGGGCACGTCACCGGCAGCCGGGCGCGTCACCGGCAGCCAGCCGTGTCATCAGCAGCCAGGCTCCTCACCGGCTGTGTCTGCCTCCTGTGCCCACCCCTGCTTCTCCTTGGAAGTTTTCATTTGTCTCTAACTCCCGTGAGTTTGCCGTTTTTCACGTATCGTTGTAATCTGTGTGAAATTTTTCCTGGAACAAGGCTATGAATAAGTAAAATAATGCAAAGAAGATGAAGCACTCGTGCGTTGTATGTAGAAATAGAATAATTCTCACACATACAGGCATCTCACTTTCTGTGTTGGTGTTCAGTGGAAGCAAGGTTTATTTTACACACACAGCAGCCCAGAAGACAGGGAGTCGTTTTTTTAAGGTATTTTGAAGGAGTTGGAAGTTTCCTGGGGCCATCGGCTCACCTCTGCGCTTTCCACGGGTCATGAAAACTGTTCTCAAAGCAGGGGAGGGCGGGGGGGCGCAGGGGGAAGGGGGAGGGACGTGGGGGGAGGGGCTGTGTGGGGGAGGGGGAGGGCCGCGTGGGTGAGGGAGAGGGTTCTGTGGGTGAAGACGCACCCCCTGAGCTCTGAGTGGCAACTTGAGCTGACCCCGTCCTTAGCCGGGCCTTTCTTTGTGACCTGGATGGCCGTGACCCTCAGATCAGAGTGTGTTCTCAGCCGAGCAGCATAGAGCAGCTGTTTAGTCCACACTCACTGATGTCACGGGCCGGGTGGGCCTGGGCAGGGCCAGGCCTGCGGGGACGAGGCCTCCCGGCCTGGACCGACACTCTCCGCGCTGCGGGCACGGCAGAGGGGCCTGCCTCCCCGGGAGAAGGCTCTGGATGCCAGAGAAGCCGGACGCAGCCGGACGAGAAGTCAGAACCACGGACGAGGGGCGAGAGGCGCAGATGATAGAGCAAGAGAGAGACCACGGCGGAAAACCAACACCAGACGCGGGGCCAGCCGCGGGCTCCGGGCCAGGACACGGGGGCTCCGGGCTGGGACGCGGGGCTGGGATGCAGGGACTCCAGGCCGGGATGCGGGGGCTCCGGGCCAGGCCACAGCCAGGGCGGCGCTGGGCTCTAGCTGTTGGTGACTGTGGAGGTCAGAGGGCAGGGTGTGAAGGTCAGAGGGCAGGGTGTGGAGGTCAGAGGGCAGGGTGTGAATCAGCCGCGGAGCCACTTTCAGGGTCTGACTCGGTGTGTGCTCACCATTGCGCTGGCTGAGGGGCTGGGACACGGGACATGGGACACGGGGACATGGGGACACGGGACACGGGGACACGGGACACGGGACATGGGACACGGGGACATGGGGACACGGGACACGGGACACGGGACATGGGACACGGGACACGGGACACGGGGACATGGGGACACGGGACACGGGACACGGGGACATGGGGACACGGGACACGGGACACGGGGACATGGGGACACGGGACATGGGGACATGGGTACACGGGACACGGGGACACGGGGACAGGGGGACATGGGTACACGGGACACGGGGACACGGGACATGGGTACACGGGACATGGGGACATGGGGACATGGGTACACGGGACACGGGGACACAGGACATGGGGACACGGGGACACGGGACACGGGGACACGGGGACATGGGACACGGGACACGGGGACACGGGACACGGGGACACGGGACACGGAGACACGGGACACGGGGACACGGGACACGGGACACGGGGACACGGGGACATGGGGACACGGGGACACGGGACATGGGACACGGGGACACGGGACACGGGAACACGGGGACACGGGACACGGGACACGGGACACAGGACACGGGACACGGGGACACGGGACATGGGGACACGGGGACACGGGACACGGGGACATGGGGACACGGGGACACGGGACATGGGGACACGGGACACGGGACACGGGGACACGGGACATGGGACACGGGACATGGGGACACGGGGACACGGGACATGGGGACACGGGGACACGGGACACGGGACACGGGGACACGGGGACACGGGACATGGGGACACGGGGACACGGGACACGGGGACACGGGGACACGGGGACACGGGACACGGGACACGGGGACACGGGACACGGGACACGGGACACGGGGACACGGGACACGGGGACACGGGGACACGGGACACGGGGACACGGGACACGGGGACACGGGACACGGGACACGGGGACACGGGACACGGGACACGGGGACACGGGACACGGGACACGGGGACACGGGACATGGGGACACGGGGACACGGGACACGGGACACGGGGACACGGGACACGGGGACACGGGGACACGGGACACGGGGACATGGGGACACAGGACACGGGGACACGGGGACATGGGGACATGGGGACACGGGACACGGGGACACGGGACACGGGGACACGGGACATGGGGACACGGGGACATGGGGACACGGGGACATGGGGACATGGGGACACGGGACATGGGGACATGGGTACACGGGACACGGGGACACGGGACATGGGGACACGGGACACGGGGACACGGGACACAGGGACTCGGGACATGGGGACACGGGGACACGGGACATGGGGACACGGGACATGGGGACATGGGGACACGGGGACACGGGACATGGGGACACGGGACATGGGGACACGGGACACGGGACATGGGGACACGGGACACGGGGACACGGGGACACGGGACACGGGACATGGGACACGGCTCCCTGCCAGCCGTCCCCACCCTCCACCAACCCAGCACAGCTCCCGGCTTGTCCACCAGGTGGTGCTCTGAGCGCAGCTGTGCGGGTCCTGAGGCTGCAGGCTGACCGGAGGGCGTGGGCGCCCCTGGGGGGGGGCACGGCCCAGGAGGGGGGCACGGCCGGGCGAGGGGGGGAAGCATGGCCCGCCCCTCCAGCTGGGTGGGGGGGCACGGCCCAGGAGGGGGGGCACGGCCGGGCGAGGGGGAGCACGGCGGGGGGGGGGGGGCCTGTGCTGCCAGCTATGCGTCCCCCTCCGATGACATCACAATATCTGGAGCCTGCACGTTGACGCCGCCTGGCCGCCATTCTCCCCCGAGCCAGGCCTGACAGAGGTCGGGATCTGGGTGGGGACGGGAGCCTGCGGGAGGCTGTGGAGCGCCAGCCCGCGCGCGGACGGCTGCCCGTCACAGTCACTTGGGGAAACAGTCATTCGACCTGTACGCAGGCTGTTTACGCGCTTTCCTGCGCACATCACAGTGGGTGAAAAACTCTCTCTGGAGCGCAGTGTGTAAGGACAGACCCGTGGAACTGTGGGTTTGGGAAAGTTACAGCAAACGGTCTTTGACAAAGAAGCCAAAGGCTGGCAAGGAGTGAAAGAGGAGGCGTGGACGGGAAGACATGTCTGCGGGGGAACGCAGTTACAGCCCACACGGGAGAGGAGCACACGCCGCACCGCGCGCCGCACCGCACGCCACACCGCGCGCCGCACCGCACGCCACACCGCGCACCGCGGCCGGTCCACCGCTCACCCAACTCTGGCCGAACCCTGAAGAGCAACGGGCTACACAGCGGAGT